ATAAACACGCGACGCGTGTCCTCGCCAGTGAGTTCTTCCGCGGAGCCTTGAAATAATTGCACTTGAGATGTGCGGCACCTTCTCTCTTTTCTAAGACTGTCAGGTGTCTGTAAATTCCAAAAATTGTTAACGTTTCTTGAATTCTTAAGAGACTTTTCAACATTACTTTTGGATGCTAGAACAAATAGCTGGGTTCAATACAGAAAAGTGGGTTGAGATATCAGAACAGGCCGCCATGAAACGAAAGGAACCGACCTGAGGCGCGACCATTTCTAGTGTTTCTGAGGAATCCGATATGCACAAGCTTATCCATTCTCGATTTCCCTATAACAAGGAACCCAGCTTCCACCTGAAGAGTTAGTTGGGCAATATTGAAGGCATTCAATATCCGAGGCTTGGGGCTGATTCACCTCCACTTGCATCGACATTACAGCCGGAGTCCATACCATTACCGCGCACAAAACTGATAACTGGATCATCTTCGAATGTTCTCCGACTTTTTTTTCTCTGAGGGCTGAGTTTCTCGTCATTTTACACCATGCTTGAGACATTACACTGAAGCTTGATAACGGGTGCATTTTCTGCGGAGCTCAGAGGCATTCAAACAATGAGGGCATATCAGAGATGTATGGTATAGGTAAGACACAAAATGTACGACACAAAAAAAGACCGCTGGGCAAGCAATTCAATCATTTACCTCCTTCTAGTCACTTTCAAATGAAGAATAAAGGGAAACGTCTTCGCCAATGATCAATCCCTTTGTGGGATGTGGCATACATTCTACTTCCATTCAGAATCGTAGTGGTCTTATTGAATGCGATGTGGCCTATATGGCCTATACAGAGAATTGCGGAGGCCTGGTCAGTGTTCTTATTATCCCAGAAGAATCTGCAACCAATTCAGCGTCTCCGAAGCGTAGGAGGCTCGCCTGGACCGGGAGTCCACTAGGAATTTGAACCCAGGACCCGTGAGCAGGGTCAAGCATATGTCGCGGAATCCGCGAAACAGCAGCGACATAGGCTTGCAGGGGGACCATGCGTTCGGAAGTTGAGTACATGGCGCATTCCACGAAGTTAGATCAGCACTTGTGTGCTGCTGTTCCTTTTGCCACATGAGCGGAAAGGTGTACGGAAAAGCCTACCGATCTTTTCAGATATTAATGTGGGTTTTATGGAGACAACATCCTCATGCTGCGGCTGAAGCTGACTTTCAAATGAAAATCCGCGACGGGCGAATTTTCACTATAAGTAAGTTACAGCAGAGTAGTTGTGCTCATTCAAAACAGAAAACCTTGTTTCCAATGCAACTGCAATGCCATGTAGAACTCTGCTCTACGTTATGTCAGATCGGGGCCATTCTATGTGAAAGGTGAAGAACTTGTGATCGGGCAAGACAGAAGCCGTCATGTAAGCTTGATGAAACCTGTAGTGTATTTCGTATAGGACTCGGCCACACAACTTTAACTGTCCCCACAGCTCTGCGAAAGATGTTTTCTGAATAAAGTTACACCCTTGGTAGGATTCTATTCAGCGGAGCTTCATCTCAATACGCGACACAGCTGCAGTAGCTCAAAGCCTTGCCTTGTGTTGTTCAGTTTGCAGAGCGCCATTTTGAGGGTTTTTTGAATTGAATCTCCTGCACCACACTACTCCTGAGAAACAGATCCCTTAGAATTTTAGAACTTTTGTTCAATTGCTTTGGTATTCGCATGAAACGCTACATATACTGCTACATTCTGAAGATCACAAGAGATAATCCCACACATTCTGCAGTCACTGAGGGGGAAGGGTCGTACGGATACCCTTCTCTGGGGGGGGGGTCACAAACCCCTGATCCGTGACGTGGTGCTTAACCCTGTGCTCTAGTCAACCTAGCTGAGGAATACTCTACTAGTTTAGAACATTGGCAGTGGAACTGACGCGATGCATCCAACAAAAGAAGAGAATTGATTTGTTTAATGATTTCTTGGTTTCAGGTTGTAGTTCATGAGTTCATTCCTCAATAATTTTAGGTTATGAGACTACAGTGATAGCCGTGATTCAAAGGGAATGGTTTACAATAATGCGGCCAAAATCAAATTGGAACCGTTTGAAGCCCTGAAAAAAAGGTGGGCTGCTTTGTCTGA